TATGTTGAAAAACACAACAATTAATTACCTAGGAGGTTTGTGGTTGGTTTATTATACCAATTATATTGTGGTATCCTGTATTTGATATAGAGGATATTCCGTGCCAACAAACTCCATGGGCAGATTCCTCCTTGAAACGCTAATAGTACGCTCAGTTAGTCATGAAATTACCCGCCTTTTATGTAGCCCGATGGTTCATCACCATGTTCACAGGAGCCCACCACTGGTCCTTATCCTGAACCAGAAGAATCCAATTCACATCCTCCAACTCTGTTTCCCGAAGACCCACTTTCAAGACTGAAGATGGCTATCTTCTGGTCTGTTGCGTCGTGTTCTAACAGAAATTTACCGACCTTTCACAGGTGCTTAACGTATCAATCATCAGGATTACAAATTAAACGGCGCAGAAACCAAGGAGATGTCCATCTTCACAATCTCTTCAAATATTGTCCAAACATATACGCCTAGGTCGTCCGAATAATCTGTTCCCTTCAGAATTTCCAACCAAAATTTCGTATGCATTTCTCGTCTCCGCCATTCGCGCTATACGCACCGCCCATATCATGCTCCTTAAGTTTTGCACTATTATACTGGCACATTCTATAGCTAGTCTTCATTTCTTATGTTAATGAAGACGGTTGGGATCATCCGCGGAGCTTTGGGTCCACTAGGCTAGCTCGCTCTCTAGACTACGCGGCTGGACTTCAGCTCCGGCGTTAACGGCTTAGCGGAATGCCAGAGCGACGGACGGTCAGCTGAATCGCGCGTAATAATTATCGAACGAATGATAAAAGTTAAGAGACAGCCAAGCTGGCAAATACAATGACTACGAATAGATCGTCGAAGTTCGATTCCAGTGAGAAGCAGAATTTCTCCCTTTACCAACATATGCAGGCATGCTCCAGGATACCAACAGACAAAGTTCCATAACTGTCCGGGCTATAAATGCGGATCCCACCACATGCCTTCAAGACGTGGTCCTTATTTTATCGTTACCAAAGGAACATCCCCGTGGACTGTTGGACTACTTTGTTAATTCCTCACCTAGACCAAATCATTTTCAGCACAGATTCTACAATTAACAAATAGTTTATGGACCACTGAAATACGCAAATTTGTTTCGTCTATTCGACATGCAAGTCACCTACTCTTCCTAAACGTATTAGCACAGGTGTGCTCTTTTGGAGCGCATTACAAATACTCGTTCACTTTCCACATGTTTGCATCACATCTGTTTGTAGATTTCTGTACTTCATATTTCTGGAATGTCACATTAGCCTAAAGCCAATAATACTCTCCTCTTAACAAATTTCAGAACAACGAAGTTAAAATTAGAAGTAAAATGTCAACGATTCTTACAATTAAATTTAAGAACGTTGTCTTTAGTTGTGTATACTTTAAGGAAACACATCTCAGAGAACTGAATGCACGTTAAAGGTTCTGTGACTGAGACAGTAATATTACATTTATGGCTGGATGATAACATTAAAATTAGGAATTAAAAAATTGGCGAAAGTAATTTATCTGGCAGTAACATTATCAGAATGTAAGCGATTATAAAAGACAGGTATAATTACATCGCAAGACAAAATTTGTTTTCGAAGCTGTCAGAAGCATTCTGTTGGTCCTTCGTCGTGATATGAAACATAAATTATGTAGGAAAACATAAGTCTGTACTATATGTTGCAAGGCAATAGAGGAAATGGGAAAAATTTGAAGATGGAGTGAAGCAGAAAAGTATTATGTAGTCTGGTACAAGTTCACCTTGCTGCTTCCATCAACAAGACGACGCCCTGATAATTGAGGCAGCAAGGACCTCTGAAAAGTTTGTAAAATTCTACCAGACTACACGGCGCTACAACCCAGAAGACAGCCATCTTATGTTTCTGAAGGAACTCGAAGACCGGAATTATTAGGTCTATATACGATTCGAATGCCTGTGTTTACTTTACTATTTCACAGACTTCTGTTCCTACAAATCTTGTTCTGTTGCTGTCATCTTCGGATAATGAACATTTATGCCTGTAATATTTTACTTCTAACATAATAGCCAATGTCCGCCACGCTTGACTGCACGAGTACGCAGTTCGTGCGATACGGAAAAAAATTGAAATAATCTCTGACGGTGGCGACTCCGGTAGCATGCAATGTGATGCAATTCCATTCATTCCTTAACTCACAACGAATATAATATACTTACGAATTTCTCTCTATTCCATCTGAATATGTCCGTCAACCACAAAAAGTCAAAATCTGAAAAGTCTTAAATAAATAACATTTGCTAGACGTTTAATCATTGTCAATTACCGATTAGAAACAAAAATTCCGGTGCGCCATTAAATTTCATAATTCATACTTCCACTGATAGCACTATAAATCCCGATTTATCTAATCGTACACACTTTGAGGTGTTCACAGCGGTGAATATGAAGATTTCCGTCTTCTGGGTTGTTGCGCTGTGTAGTCTGGTCGATGTTTACCAACGTTTTAGAAGTCATACTGCCTCCGTCATCAGGACGACGGAGACAATATGACCTCTGAAACGTTGGTAAACATCGACCAGACTGCACAGCGCAACAACCCAGAAGACAGGAATCTTCTTATCACTGATTTGGTCCATGTTAATAAAATCTGGCTTAGAATACAAATTATAGAGCTTTTAATTATGCGTTTTGTCCATCTCCCTGTTACTTCCTCTGTCATAAGCCCAATATTCTCGTCAGCAGCTTGTTTCCAGTCCTCAGTCTACGCTAATTTCCCAAGCGAGAGACCAAATTTCAAATCCACCCACGGCAACATGCAAAGTTACAATTATTTTCAGATAAAATTTTAGGTTATTGTACCGGAGATGGAAAATACAAGCTACGTTCAATAAGTGACTGCGCATATATTGCACGGGCTCATAGAACCACGGTGAAAGGCCAACGGGTGTAGACAATCAAAAACTGAATTAAACAAATGCAAATTAATATGTTAACTCATGTTTCAGCAACTTAAAACCACATAGAAATCAAACCTGTGCATTTAAACAATACATTGAGTAGCCCATGATTTGAAAGTACGAAAAACAGCTTGTTTCTAAAACCTCTCGCACAAGTAAAAAAGGATGCCATATCTCTCCATTCACGACACTCCCAAGAAAGAAAGAAAGAAATTCTAAGAGACGAATTTATCAAAACGGTCCTTATTCATCGATAAGGCTACGTCTTCTTGCTAGGAGAACAAAAGAACTGGTTTACAGTGAAGGGTGACAGATGAAGTGGCGTCAGCGTCACCAGGGGGACAGTATCCGTCACATCGTGGGGGGTAGACGTCAGGCTGAATCTGCTGCCCGTCTCTATCTTTTTGTCCTATTCCCTGCCTTACAAATTGTCATTCACGGGTAGAAAATAAAAATTCGTGTTTTCCCCACAACGGTCTATTGCACTAGACTGCATACAGTCTGTTTGATTATGCACGTGAACATAACATGCAAAAACGCCTAAATTTAGGCATACAGACTGACACCGCAGAAATGACTATATCGTACCTGTTCACAACAACGTGAGTTTATTGTACTGAGGCAAGTCATGAACAAGTAATTTAGGTCGTACGTGCATTGCAATTACTTTGATTAAAGATATTACAAAATGTGAAAATACAACTGTTACACTCGCATTAATATTTCGATAATGATTTATTAAGTTCAGTTCTCTTGTATGAAAGACTGCGTCCGCATAACGCCGAGATTTTGCGGCCCAGAAAATGGTATGTGGCTGCATATATTTCATAATTTAACTATCAAAGGAAATTCCCCTACTTTTGCGAAATGTTAAAAATGCGTGCGAGGAAGACAAAGTTTCACGCACTGTAAACGTCAACAAAAAAACACTCCCAGTAACAATCGGATCGGAGGCTGAATGGCAAACCGCCGACTCCTAACGTACTTTCTAATACGAAGAGATTAGAGCAGAAATTTCTAACAACCTCATTCCACAGAGATAAAGGAAGAAAGAAACCTCTAAATATGATTTGAGGTCCTCACGGCGACAATTATGAAGATTGCTGTCTGCTGGGTTCTTCTGGACTTTAATCTGGTAGATGTTTGCGTATGTTACAGAGGTGCTAGATGCCCCCATCATCAGAGTGTGGTTACAAGGTGAACAATTCAAAGGACAGCCATCTTCAAGGCACTTCTAGTTGTGCGAAAGAGAAATGTGGATTTTTAAACGTAAAACAAAATGTTCCGGGTCGTTTGCCACCTCAGTACTGCCAGTAGTAGAAGTCGGATGAAAGCAAAGGCCTGTAGATATGGACCTCTGAAACGTCGATGAACGTCTACTAGACTATACGGGGCAACAACCCAGAACACAGCCATCTTTATTCAGTGTATACACTTCTATATAATGGAATCATACGGATGCAAACATTTTTCAATTTGAGAAAGATTTCCGTTTAACACAAGAACCTTATAAAAATAATGCTCAGCATTTGCCCGATGAATTTATGATCCAGATCTGAAGTACAAATTGCTTCCTATGTACACTAACGCGCCTATACCGTTACTGAGAATTACTCATTTTCAGCTTCTTCTTTCCTTCGTGTTTTTTTTTGAGTAGCCTACTTTACACATATTCTTTTTTACAATACAACTTAATTCTTTCACATCTGTGAAAGTAATATTCCTTTCACAAACTTCTAGGAAGAAATTTACGTGAGTAGAAAGCAATATTCAAGCAGGCCACACGACGCCACAAATTTTTCGGCGAGAAGACATTTAACTTTATTAAAGGCAATATGACATTGGTCTTCGCACTACAGTCATGGAGCAAACATTTTCGAAAAGAATTAAAGTTTACGTTTAATCCAAACTTTAATGGGCAGCATTTATCGTATTTTAAGGGACAAACATTTCGCTGTTACAGACCCGGAGTCAGTAGTTACAGACAGGTTATTACTGGTAATCTGTTTCTTCGGCGTTAGGAATCGAACTGCCTATAAAGACATCGATGGTAGTCTACCTGGTGCTGCAGGAAGTCTAATTGCAGGATTGGCAAGCTGCGGGTTTGGACATGCAGCTCTCTCTGGACACACTCCAAGGTGGTGAGCTCCACAAAGCCATGCTGACGGAGCGCCTCACAGGTGCGCTGTACTTGTTCGATGCACGGAGAGAAGGACACGAACCGCCCACCTGTACAACACACAAGTCTCAGCAGTCACAGGAAGGCGAACAAACTGCCAGCAATGAAATGAACACTTCACCTCTACATACAAGTACAACGTGACATTGCATCTGATGATTTTTGGAAGGTTCCAGTTCGAATTCGGCCACCTTGACTAGGGTTCCTGTCACATTAGGCAAAATCTTGCCTGCCGTAATATACTCCTAATGTAACTGTCAGCGTACGTACGCTTGACTGTTCCAGTACGCCGTTCGTGCGATGCGTAATGAATTGAAATTAAGTTTTGATAATGGTGACTCTGGTAACAAGACATACAGACGACTCTACGGTGGCGCCTGTGGCGGGGTCTGCGTTTGACAGAAGCCTGGAATCGGGCTGTCGGTGCGTTCAGCGGAATTCAGGCTTCAAACGTCGTGAATATGTTTCCACGTTTAGAGTAATTTACTTTATAAAGAAATTTTATACTTTAAATGCGATTTGCAAAAATAATGCTGCAATAAATTGTTTTACTGTTCGACACAAAAAAATTCATTCCCGTCAGCTTTGACAGGTCTTTCTTTGCTGGTATAAGATTTTGAAGTGCATGATAGCAATCACTTCCGAACTTAGCCTACCTTTAATTCACTCGTTAATAAAGTTTTTATTTGCTAATGTCCTCAAATATTTTAAATTTCCCACATTAATAGGACTAATTAGAGTCAAAAGTGTATAACAAATCTAAAACTTCTTGACGATGGTGAAGAGTCAATTGAATAAAAATTTTCTTGGATATTATCCATCGTCTAGTAAATATAAAACGTAAAAACGACGTTTCGGAGATGGGTCGTCCGGAGATAGGGATTAGCTCTATCTAGTGGGCCCAACTGTGTAGGAACCTGAAGACGGAGATAGAGTCCCATCTCCGAAACGTCGTTTTTACGTTTTATATTTACTAGACGATGGATAATATCCAAGAAAATTTTTATTCAATTCAAAAGTGTATAAGCTGCTCGAAAACCAAATTTTTGGTTCGTAGTACACACACACACACACACAGACCTGTATAATTTAATTTACTACAAACCTACATATACATACGAGCGTCAGAAAATCGACTGGGGCGCAAATCTAATTCTGCAGGCTATAATGTGTGATTTAACATAACAAGAATAAAGATTAGAACGCCATCTCTCAAATAATTATTAATATTATATTCATGTATTTAAGATGAGGTACGAGCAAGCAGTTAAAATAATGGGCAGCTATTTAACACTTTTGGAACTACAGAATTTTATTGAGAGAAAATATTATGTCAGAGCATTACACTTTTCTGGATTTTCCTAGTTTACTCAGCATCATATTTTATCCACGGGAACAGCCCATGGAGGAGCTCCTTGGCTGGGACAACTGGCGATGACTAAGGTGGTCTGAGCAGTGATGCATAACATCTTGTATTGACTGAAATTCTAAATATGAGACCTTGGCCTTATGGTAAAAGTTTAACAAAGTTTCAGACGTACTTCCTGCCTTCATCATCCCCCTGATGATGAAGGCAGCAGTTACCACAGAAACACTCGTAAACGTCTACCAGACTACAAGGTGCTACAACCCAGAAGGCGGACATCTTCAATTCAACAAACAAAATTAGCCTCTTTCTTACATAATTTTCTGGCAAAGCACCACTTGATACAAATACCTCGTTAATGAAAATTGTTACCGCTTAGTTCTTTTAAGAGTTGTACAAAATGTATCTGCGTACTAAACATACTGAGGACGGGCGCTTTGATCTCTTACTCTGGCAACATCAGTCCATTGCTGTAATATATCGATGACTTGAAACGAGGAACGTTTGTAAATCACCCTGCTTCAGACAAACCAATCAAGTTCCCATGAGTTCTCTCCAACCACAATACCGGGGATCCGAAGAAGCAGGAACCGGGTGTATAATAATACAATTCTTCTTTCTAAAGAACTAAAGTGCACCGTTGTGTTACACAGTCCTGTTCCTGTTTCTAATTATATTAAAACGAATCCCGGAGAACTAGGTTACGAAAGTCTGCACTGGACTGAACTAGCTCCGGAATGACTTAATATAAGGCTTCTGTGAACATGGTGATGTAGGTTCGACATCCATATATGCAGTAAATACAATACCAGCTGGCCAACCATAAGCTTTTTAATAAAAATTCTTTGTTGGGAAATTTAGGTTCTTAGGATGGTGTTATTCTTCTGGGTTCTGACGCCTTGAAGACTCGTAGGTAATTACTGTCTTCAGATCTTCAGCCCTCAAGATGGAGATGATATATTTCTCCAAATAGAATATGGTTGTCTTCTGGGCTGTTGCGCCTTGTAGTCTGATAGAAGTTTACCGACGGCACAACAACCCAGAAGACAACCATCTTCAAACTCACCGCCGCGAAAACTTCAAATCCTACTTTCTCCAAACAGCTGGTATCTACCTAAGAACATCATCAGTGTAGAGTTAGTTACGCTGAAGAACTTCAGTTATCATTTGACGACATTCTCCCCTCAAAATACAGGCACACTTTTAATGTGTACATCTAAATATTTTATACACCCGGTCGGAACGTTCCTGTCACCTTTCACCCGAACAGGTACAGGCCTTACAAACCAGGCAAAATCTTTAGACTAGAAAGCGAAGGAGGGGGAACTGACCAGCAGTGCGGGAGGTGAAGGGTAAGAACAATGAAAGATGGTTACAAAATAATATTTAGACCGTTTCAGGGCGTAACCTGATAGTAGAATTACAGTTCAACTTTTTTAAGCGGTTATATGTTGGAAATAGACGACGGTTTAGTGATGAACTACAGTTTTAGTTGGTGTGGGAAAAGATTGGAGATAACTGGAATTTGAAGGTACAGTGCAGTTTCGATGTGTTCGATTGACCGCGGCTACAGAGGATAAGCGGTTTAAGATCTTGACCCGGATTTATTTCTCAAGATGCATGATCAGTTTGCAGACTACATTTATTAGTGGTTCACAGCATAAAACCACTTGGTCTTCCGCGCATATGAAATCGCGTTTAATGCATCATTACATTACAAAAATAAAAGTCTGAGATCTTCACAAAGCATCGAGATGCACACCGAAATTTATGAACAGCTGAAACCAACCAATTACACGAACGGACGACACGTTCTAACATTCGGACCCAACGAAGACAGTGACAGCGGAATTGATGTTAACCGCGGTTCCTATTAAATAATGAAAGCTTCATCAATATTTTACAACCACAGTAGTTGTATCTGCAGTTTCTTTGTCACCCTATGTGTTGTTTTAAGTTATCACGGCGGTGAAGTTGTCGATGTTATGGGTTATGACATCGTGTGGACTCATAGGTAGATGCAAGTCCGCATGGCTTTACAACCCAGAAGAACACCACCAACTTCTTACCATTCCTTTCCAACGTAAGACCTCTTAAGAGGATTCTCAAGAACCCGAGACAGAACCAGCCAGAATTGAAATCAGCTTCGTGCTATTATTTTCATACGCTACGTAGGAGCGAGAAATTAATCCAGAAACCATTCTGAGTGGTGATATTTAATGACGAACACCCGGTTTCTTTCGTGTTCACAAAATCTCACCAGTGAACTCAACAATGACCCAGTTAAATCCGGTCGAAAACTTCACACGCTGTTTCTTCAAGATCTATTTCAATACCAAATCCCCACCTATGCTCAATTGTCCATCTCATCCTGCTTTATTTAATCGTCCTAACAACCAGCATGTATGTAAAATGCGTAGCCGAATACTTAAAAGTTTTCGAAACAATGGATCGTACAGTTTGTAATTGACTGCTACGGAAATGCAGTTAACATGAAGCTGTGCGTGATTTGACAGGTAAACGGAGGAAAAGGAGCGGCTGAAGTAGGCTACAGATTTACTGTGCACGCGTGTTTTAACTTATTTAATCGCAAACATTCTTGAAATACCATCCGGTCTCTCTCCATATCCTCTTCCGTATGTCTTTATCTGCGTTCACAATAGGCACGCACCAACTGCCACTTTGCGGACACAAGGCTGCAGGGGGAAACCACTGAAGAAAGCAATGAGGTCCCACATTTGGCTCTAAAAGATCTGTGAACGCCATTACAAATGTACAGCAGTGACTGGCGCATACTCATTCCACATGTTTCCCACTCGGAGAGTATTGTCTGTCTGAGCGGAGAATTGACTCGACTCTCAAACAGATGTACTCACGGCGCAGTAGTTTTATAAGTTTTTAATGTTTCTTGTGTTTTTAGTATTTCATAGCTTATACATAATTTGGTATATTCATTGGGTCACCGGTAACACACCCATAGTATCAAATATCATGCATATTGCTTCAACAGTGGAACAGTTTTGGTAGGGACCAACATTTTTAGGGCAGCATTCAGCATGGCGTTACGATTTCAAGGTCAATTCAGTTCTCCGCTCAGACAGACAATACACGTCTCACCCGTCCCACCCTTCCTGATTACCGACGTAGCAAAATAAAAGGCCGGAAACTAGGTACACAATTTAAATACTAACTTCATGGCACAGAGTCCTTGGGAAAATAAAAAATATGCTCTGATAATCAAAAAATTTCCCGCCTTTTATGGAACCAAATTTCATTACTGTATTCAAAAGCACCTGCTACCGGTCCCTATCAGATGAATCCAATTCATGCCCCCCCCCCCAACTGTATTTCACAAATACATTTTAATATTATCCCATCATCTACGCCCATGTCTTACGACTCTTCCCTTCAGGCTCTCCAACCAAGATCTTGTACACACTTATTACCCTCGCGCGCTACATGCACCGCCCGTCTCACCCTACTCGATTTTATCATATGCGATCGGAAACAATGAAATCATTTTATAATTTTAAAACCACAATCACATATCACCGCATTGTCCTGTCCAAAAGCCACCGACCTGCACGATGGCCTTCACAAAGCGGTGCATCTACACTACCATTGGTAGGCCTGTAATAGGCCTACTCCACGCCAGAGGCAGCAGCTAGACTATTCAATAAATCATAATAAATGTTATTTTATTCATGAATTGGGGTGTGATATTTCCATTCCAGTGTCATTCCCTATGGTATTCCTACGCATGCGCAACCCTCCCCGCACCTTTGAAACAGCAGATGCGCACTGACCCACAACTGTAGACGGGACTCGGGTCACTGCGCATGAGTAGACAGCATCAAAAGTCGCTAACAGAAAGATGGGGCTAAGTCGCTCCAAGAAGAAGCATATTATATAATACATTACCCTGGACCTTCACAAGCACGCGAAGCAGAATGCGTTCTCTTAACGCCCAATTACAGTTCGAAATGTGATATATTTATTGTTACAAAAGCAGGACATAATATGATAATTTTCGGTATTTTGTTTGTTTAATCTAATTAATAAAAAGTAAAAAAAAACAGTTAAAGATTAGAAAAGAACCACTGCTCAGTCACCAGCAATATAATTTATATCGTCTCTTTCAACCGTCTATAAAACCTTCTGCTTCTCCCGGCATCTAAAAAGGCCCTTAAGAACGCCGAATACAATATTGGCGACTTCTGAATTCAACGACGAAAACATCCAAGTTCGGCGACTCAATCGGACACATATCTTAATCCGCGTGACTGTGCCAAATAGTGTCGATGTTTGCCTTCTGTGTTGTAACGCAGTGTGGGTCTGCAGGTAGATAACCAATATTTTGGAGGAAAATACCACCTCCATTTCAGGTCTGGGGACCAATATAGACAACTTCAACCCCGAGAGAACCTGAAATCTCGTACGACGCAAATCGATATTCGCTTTTCGCCTTTAGTGGGTTTTTAAAAGGACTTCCTTTACAGCCCTACTGCTATTTCAAATATATATTACTTTCATACAATGAGCCGGGATAGCTCAGTCAGTATAGTGACTAGCTACCGGCTGGACGACCGGGGTTCGATCCCTGACGGAGGCAGAGGATTTTTCCTCTAGCCTCTGCGTCCAGACCGGCTCTGGGGCCCACCCAGCCTCCTATCCAATGGGTATCGGGATCCTTTCCCGGGGGGTAAAGCCGGCCGGGGCGTGATGCTGACCACTCACCCCATCTAGTGCCGAGGTCAAGGAAGAGAGGAGCTATACCTCCACTCACCCAAAACGCCTACATGGCGTATAGTGGGACAAACCTTACTTTACTTTATTTTACTAACTACGTGCAGTAGCCTATTTAAAAACGTCTTGTTATGAAAGAGACGCATAGTGTCGTATTTTAATGACAACGTTTCAAATACAGATAACAGAGCAATACTGATATGTATCTTAAGCAAAGTATAAAATTTTCAAATTAAAGCCTTATCTTTTTAAAACGGCAAATGTTTTATGGAGAAAAAATAAATTATTTTACACAGGTAACACTAATTTCATTTTATATGTCGTTAATATTTCACATTAAGCGATTTTATACATTCTAAAACCAACTTAAATAATGTAATGAAAATCTTACCACACTGATCTTACTAGCAGGGGTAATCTGCCTCAAAGTAAGCAAAGGTACAAAGAATCTGAACCCACGTATGGACTCATTCGACGCATCGACGAGCATTAGCAGTCAGTCAAATTATCTTAAAATTATTCCTAATTATTTATGCAGGGTTATTGCAGTGCGAATGTAACAATTTTGTCAATTTCCATGTTTTCTGTTTTGATACTATTTTAATTGCACATTAATACCAGCCTGATGTTAACTTACGTCCTAAAACATGGCCGCGTCCTGAGATAGAAGCAAATTATTTAATAATCTCAAGTGATGCATAACTATAAAATTGAAGTGATTACTAATGAGAGGGATTAAAGTTTTCTATTATGCGCGGCTAATTGGCTGCTAGCCATTTACTGTCATTAACAGTTAGTCTCTAACAGAAATGACAAAACCGTCACTTTAAAACTTATATAAAGGAGCTATTCATTATACATATTTAAACGCCTTATGCTATAACTGTGTAGGATTTCAGGTTCTCACGGTAGTGAGGATGAAGTTGGTTGTCTTCTGGGTTGTAGCATCGTGTAATTTGAAACGTCTACCAGACCATATGGCGCTACAACCCAGAAGGAAGCCATCACAAAATGTAGCTGTGTTTCTCTCAAATTTGGCCTCATATTCAACGGACATAACAAGGGCTACGTTAAAGAAGAAAAGTAAAACATGATAAAGAACTAGGTTTGTGGGTTAAAAACGTCGTTAAATAAACCACAGATAAACATGAATCTCGTCTACCTTCTTCTCAAGGAAGATCTATGAAAACATGTTCGTTGGTAATAGAGGGAACTTCGAATTATGAACCAGCTTACAACGTGTCTTGAATCAAATCGCCTTGCCTATCGTCCTGACAGGTTGTCGGCGATGTCCCCAGCAGCCACGATTGTCCAACAATAGAACAGGCTACAACAGTTCCCTTGTCAGTCCTGTACGATACAAAAACAATACTCAGAAAAACAATCCCCAAAACCAACATCGACATCCTCACGGTCGCAAAAACCTCAATTTTCACGTGCTAGGACGTCACCTAGCTATCACAAATCCTCAGTATTAAATTACGACAAATACTGTTCGTCTTGGCTGGAGCACTTTTCACTTTCTGAGGTCTTCCCCCAGCGTCTTCTTTCTCTCAGTTGGCACGTCATCATTTTGTACGTGGATCCTACCTGTAGAGTTCATTCTTTCGACATGTTCTTTCTTATTTCTTATAGAACCTGTTATTAGTGAAGTTGCAGTCCTTGAATTATATCTTCATATATTTTTTAACTGAATTGGGTGTAACCTGCTGTCCGTCCCATGAAACGCATTTCAGATAATATTAATCTTCTTCTTCTTCTTCATGCAGCCATGCTTTGCTCCTATATTATGAGTCTCATAAATGTTTTATAAATTAGGATTTTCTTAAGAAAATATCAGCCAAAAGATAAATAGGGAAACAATGGAAATTCCGGGTCAAATATGATGACCGTCGTCTCTGAAAACTAATATGTTATAATGCATAACTCGAAAAGAGGGAATCATCAAATTATAAATTAACCATTTACCATAGACTATGTTTGTTTGTTTTTTGTAGAATTCTTAGAATAAACTGACTATTTTCACAACCCTTTGAAGCCTAAGATAATCAAAATAACATTTAAGAATTAAGTTCGTATATTAAAGGACGAACAGCATTTCACCGTTACAAAAATATACTGCTTAACGCTGTTTAAGAAAATAAACCCTGTTTACAGCTAAAATCATTTTAACCCATATATAAAAAATAAAGAGTTGCTGACTGTTGAAGCAGGCGAAACATGCAGTTACCATTGAAGGATTAAACAACATAATTGATTTATTTTTGAGATGAAAACATGTTGTGGATTCTTTGATATAGGAATTTAACTTTCGAATATTATTCAGATGAGCTCCGGCCCCAAGAGGTTCACAACGTATGTGAAAATTTATCTACTACGATTAATTGATTAATGAATTAGTAAAACTGTCTCAAGGGCTTGTAGTGACTTGAACCCCTGTTACATACAGACCTCCCCCGCTCCACACTCCAAAATGTAGCGGAGCCAGGCATCACAGTGAAACAAGTGGGGGATCGGTCATGACCCCACAAGTTGTAATTGGCGTTACAGATATCGAGGGTCCGATAATGCGAAAGAGAAAGATATAGGGAAATTTGTCTACAGGGTACAACTGGAGACTCGAAATCTTCAATGCATCAGCATAACCACCTCGAGAGTGGCATTCCTATTTTCCAGTTAATACAGTCTCCCCTTCGGTTCATATCTTCTCCGCGACCCATTATCAAAACATTCTATCGCTCTAGTATGATTTTTCATTACTTCATTTCAACACTCAGACTTACGCATCACGTAAGTATGCACTCACTGCGAACTACTAGGCCAGCGTGGTCACGTGAATAATCTGGATTAATTTTATGACAATCCTTTCATATAATCTACATATCGACATATTTTGTTGTTTTTTTTTCTTACGTTACAAAAACATCTTCGTAGGTCTCAACTGATTTTCAATTTTGTTTTCCAGCGAGTTCCTGATGCAAAGGCTGCCGTGGAGCCAAATTACACATTCATCCCGGAAGGTAGGAAAAGTTTTTGATCATTTGTTTTAAAGTATTAAAGAAATCGCTCGTTCGTCGCACATTTGAGACTTACGAAAATCTTACGAAAGCAGACTCCACATTCTCCTTGGGCCAAGTTTCTCAGCGTTTCTAAACTATTCTACAACAGTGCGCTCAGAGAGTCAAGTCAAGAAATTACTTGAATTTTATGGATCGCGAAGTTTCATTGTCGTGTTCACGATAGCCCGCAACAGGTCCCTTTTCTGAACCACGTGACTACAATCCACAGCCCAAACCCGATTTCCCCCAAGACCCTTTTAACGTCTCGCCTCACCTAAGTGTAGGTTTTCCGAATACCGTCAGTCCCCCGCCCAACTCCCAACCTGAAGGAAAACCCCTTGTCTGCTGTCCGTCTTATTCAATATGTTCGCAGTACATTCTCTATACCTGGAGGTCTTTTCCATCCGCAAGCTGAATTCGCCGCCTTGGGAAACTCATATCTCTTAGGCATATTTCACAGCCTTTAAATACGAAACGAAACGTCACTGTTTGACGAATTCGAATCCCAGATTAATTCGTTCGTACAAGTAATTAAAATTGGTTGCAAGTTCTGAGGTATTGGCCTTTAAATATTGCATCCATATTGCCTATGTAGGCATATATATGCCTAACTAGCTTATGATAACTGCACACAACAAAGGATAACAAAAGATGACTTGAATTCGAACTTGATAAGATAGCAGCCAAACCTGGTTTGCATCATATAAAACATTGGAAAGCGGTTTTAATAAAATCTGATATTGGGGAGATTTGCAGAAATTTGTCGAAAAATTTCAGTATAGTTGAAAATCGGTCAGAATAACGGGCACTTTTCATGAAGACCTGGGGAATCCCAGCACGGGGTTGCATTGTGGACACAGCGTAAGAACTCTTGCGTTTCTTAAACTAATTATAATTCACATTGGGTCACTGTGAGTCTTGTGGAAGTGATAGATAATGAACATTACAATTTGACCAATGTTCGTCAGTGCTGAGAAACGAGCAGTATTTCCATACAAGAATACTGTGGAAGTGTAGGTTTCAGTTATATCATGAAAGATCATACGAATAAAATGTGCAAACCAGTCCTGGATTAAAGTATCGAAAATCGTGCACGACACCCTGTGACGTACTGCATTTAATTTAGCGTTGCATAAGGCATTAATTAAAGAAACACGGCACAACAGCGTGGAAGTGACGAACTCTTGTAACCATGGTGACGAACCTTCCGGTATCATAAAAAAAGGTGGGTAAATTCTTGACCAGTTGATCGACTGTCAGTTTTCCAACAAGAAAACTGCCCCATGGGGTTCGTTGTCTATATAAATTTAAATGATGTTGGAACGTGTTCTGCTAGGTTAAGATTATATGAAAGTTTATTGTTGTAGATTTCACACCAGCTGACCTTGTTCCTTGCCACTTACAGCAAACACTGTTTATAGCAAGCTTAATAAATACCCTAGGGAAATCAACTATTGGAAATACGAAAAAACGAATACGAGAATATGTAAGCCGTATACGGATAGAAACTACACACAAAAACATCAAAACATAATTTATGTTTCACAGTTTGCATACTTTCACTGACTTGGGCTTGTGATTTATTCAATAAATAAGGAACATCGTAAATAAAACACACAGGTTGCCTGTCTAAGCCTGTTACTTGATTGAATTCTTACAAAAACGCCCACATTAGTTGAATGGGTTGCGAACAGGCTTTATAAGAGTGTTGACAGGGGTCTTAAAACACAGCGGTTGAACACGTTCAGAATTCCCACGAGCAAATTTTAAACGGGTACAGAACATAAGTACAAGGACAAACCAAACAGAATCCCAAATCGTCCAGTACAGAATATGCAGTAAATAAGGGCATTTCAAAAGTACGATAAGAAAAGACCATGTCACAGCTCCGGTGGTTTGTCACACGCTATCACCATGGAGGTCCGGGTTCTCGTCTAGGCCTTTTATCGTATTCTGTCTGTGAAATAAAAAAATTAGATGTAATGGATAAATTAAATTGTTTACTTTAGACTGAGTTGCAGCATATTTTGTCGAATTGATTATATGTTTAAATACAACAAGCATTGAAGAATTTCTGGTAGAAATTAGTAAGGAGAATAAAATAGCAGTAAACTCAGGTTTATAATTAACTTTCGGGCAAGAAAGCCTGTGGAAGCTTAAAAAATATTTATGTAAAGTAGGTCGATTATAGTATTTCTTATGAAAAAATGTAAAAGTCTTTACCAAATATAAAAAAGAAATATGGACGCTTCAAAGAATTTTGTGGGAATTTCTTGTTCGAAAGTACGAGTTAAGAACAAGTTTCAAATGATTTACTAGGGCATAACAGAATGGCATAATATAACTTGTATAAAGATTATATCTGATTCTACTTGTCACTGGGCATTATTTAACTTCAGTCAAGTCTATATTTTAATCTTAAGGTGAACAGGAAAATAGCTATGAGTGTGGCCCACATGGCTCACGCTCCCCAGTTTGGGAGTGGTTGCCTAAACTGCTACTTCAATCCATCTCTTTTATAAATAAAAGCCATGTTGTCAGCCACCAGGTCATTCCGTTATATTTGACTGTGGGCTTAACTGTATGGAGAAGTTCCAAAGCCGTTCCTAACAAAATGACTTGACAGCATCGGGCGATGTATACGAATGTATTATAACAAGATTGAACCTAAACATATTTCATTTTCGAGCCTTTCCTTCCAAGGTGTATCAGTGTTTTAAGAGACCGCCGTAACGTTGCATTATTACAGGCTGAACTTGTTTTCCTTGACGGCGGGTCATGACGTAACGCAATGCATACATGCAAATTATTTGCTGCACATTTCACAAACCTGACGTAGAAACAACCGCCACCCCTCACTACCGTATTCTGTCGCTTCTATGATGTATCAGCCCTACGTCTTTCTTTAAAATATGATCCAGTTGTAATTCCATATAATTACTTAACTACATGACAAACCACTGTATTTGGTGTCTCTGAGTTCAGTAGTCATGGGAGAAGACAGCGACGTAAAAATAAGAAAAAAAACATTTTCAATATGTTCACCATCGGCGTCCAAGACCATCTGCAGCGGACGTCGGAAATTCCACAGAAATGCAGGTGGAGTTTCTACACCGACGCTCGTCACTGCCGAAATTTCTTGTTACATTTCTTCGATTGTGTGCAGATTATTTTGTGACATTGCCACCAGAGGCAGCATATTCTTCCAAGACCACCGAATACCAAATACAGGGATGTTCGTTATGTAGTTAGGTAATTATATGCGATCAAAACTGGAAGGTCTTCTTACAAAGATCCTGCACAAACATAGCACAGTTTTAAGTCTTAAACACGCGTATTTTAATTAGAAACTTTGCTAAATTTCTATATGGACCGTCGGATCAGGAAGTTATTTAAGTGGGGTATATGCTTATACGCATATGCCGCAGAAACACTTAAAGTGAGGGGATGTTTTCTTCAGATTACTAAATGTCACTCGCAACAGGTAATTATTGCGATTTAAGCTTTTACGACTAGAAATAGGCAATAATGAAAGTAACTTCAGGACATATTCTGTGACTGTTTACACATTCCTTTTAATAGTTGTGTATCATCGTCAACTGTCGAGGACAGGTATTATGATTTGGAATCACCAGTGTTATAACTACTAGACTCATAAACCAACATTCATTCAGAAAAACTGTCACTCGTTGAACACGGGCCGCGACTGACACTCGATTTTCAAACATGTTCATGTTCCCAGCACACAAAATCATCGGTCTTCGGTAGTCATGCACCGATCTATAAAAAATTACAATAAAACACTTCTGAGCCACATTCAAAGCAAGCACTTTACATAAAAGAGAAAATATTTCGGGACATGAGTGGCATGGCTATTGTTTCTTTATTTGCAGTTCTTGTAAATCTTAAAGTTTATAGTATGTGTCACGAGGCTTAAACTTCCATATCAGTTATTATTCTGAAACCGTAATTTAAAACAGTGCTTTAAAGACATTGTCAAACTGCTTGGTGGAAAAGTTTATCATTCTAACAGGACAAATATGGGACCAGACCCTGGAAATGTCATAGTAGGTCTTAGGCTAAGGACAAAACCATTGTCACGTAGAATTACTAAATTTGAGGTTGTGGTGAAAACTCCGGGAGGCCGGTCCATATTTCTGGCACGTGCACAAATTCGTATCGTTCCACACGTGGTAGAAGAAAGGTCAGAATTCAGAAGCATCCAACTACTGCCAGACGTGACAAGAATGGGAAAGTGTATACTACTACAACGTCATCATGCGTTCTACATGTCTCAACTTACTTTCCTTAATCGCCCTATTAATATTAATCGCCGATCACAGTTACCGCGCGGTATGGGGCGTGAATCTTGGCCGATTGGATATGGGGATCGTTGGTTTGAATCCCGTTCTATAATGGATGTATGGATGTTCGTCTTCGTCTTTCCGTATTGTGTTGTCCCATGACGGTTGAGGCCTTGCTCTACAACAGTGGTATTCAACCTGGGGTACGCGTCCCCCCGGGGGTACGCGAAGACATCTTAGGGGGTACGTGAAATTTAAAAAAATATATATTATTTTATGATAAACACTGAATAATAAGTAATGTAATTTATTTAATTTATTTTAGATGTAGATTATATACTATGTATAACTTGAATTATACACCAACAACTTTGGGGGTACAAAGTTAAAGAGAAATTATATCTGGGGGTACGCGAACAACAAATGTTGAATACCACTGCTCTACAACACAGAAGACAGCCATCTTAGGACATTGCGCTCTGAAAACCTCAAATCTCACTTTGTTCCAGGGCTTTAGAATTTGAACAATCGTTAATTTTGCGGTAAAAGTACAGAATGAGAGGTTATTTTTTTTATGGTTGATGATGTATGAGTGTTTTAAAGTTTACGGAAGGTGTATCGCATCCGATGTTTGGTCTCAAACAAGCCCACAGTCCC